CTGGAATAGTGAGAGAAAAATAATTCTTGACAAACAAGTTCGGTTTCACATAACTGTCAATACGTACATTTGATTGTTTTTCTGTCCTGGCATGTTATAAAGTAAGCCGAATCTGAAGCTTTGAGTGATATATTTTGTTAAAACATAAATTAACAATCAAATAGATTCTTTTCAACAATTAAGTCTGACCCTAAGTTTTACTCATGAAAACATTGATTTGTTAATAAATGAATTAGGCGGATCCATGATTATGGAACGCCGTAACTACCTTATGTGGAGAACTTTCCTTAAATGCTGGTAATCTGACATTATATGATGGTACTTTGTCATTATATGCTACTACTTTGTCATTATATGCAACTTCTTTGTCATTATATGCTACTACTTTGTCATTATATGTTACTACTTTTTCATTATATGCTACTACTTTGTCATTATATGCTACTACATTGTCATTATATGCTACTAATTTTCATTATATGCTACTACTTTGTCATTATATGCTACTACTTTGTCATTATATGATGATACTTCAACATTATATAAAGATGAATTTCAAATAGGTATAGCATCGAGATCGGGATACTGTTAACTAGTAAACTAGTTTAAGGAAAAAATGGCGCAAAATTGTAAAAACGCGATTACATTGAAAAGCATCCTCGAGGAACTAAAGATGGGTCCGCAGGTGATCTATAGATTTGTAGAAGAGAGAGTAGATGTTGATAATATTTTAAGCTTGAGCGATGAACAATTGAGCAGTTATAAATGTGATATCATTAATGTGCTTTACAGCAATAATTAAAAAAAAAAACGTTGGGATATAAAATATTACATTCAGGTGATAGTCATACTACTGATTCAGTAATAAATACGCATGTTTCCTAAAGTTTTTTGCATTAATGAATTCATTTAAACCTAGAAAATGTTATGAAAATTTTGAATAAATTTTGTACACCAATAAAAAGAAATCGCTAAAAACCCAAAATCCGGGACCGTCGGGAGTCGGGAAGACTAGATTTACCGCTTGCCCTTAAATCCGCCACTGGTGTTTGAACTCCTCTCGATCTTGCATTTGACCATTTCTCGAAGATGAGACTAAGAAGTAAATCTAAATTTCCAAAATTTTAAACAAGCATTTATAAACATTGCAGACAAACACACACAGTGGACAAAAAGCTGTATACATAAAATAGTGCACAGTACTGCAGTATATTAATAAGAATTTCCGAAACCTATCAAACCATTCCTGTCCGAAAAATCAAATTCTTCAGGAAACACAATCCTGTCATGTGAAAATGATGACAGAAATTTGAGTTATACAAAAGAAACATACAACACTTCATTGAATTTTATGCTAATGTGAAAAAGATAATTAAAGTCTGAATGCCATTTGGGAAACGTTGTATTTACTCAGAAAATTGATTTTAAAAAACTGAAAAAGATGAAGGGACTAATGTAATTAAGAAATCTGAACTTTCCCTAGTGCGGTCAACTCAGTGGCGTTTTCAGACCAATTTTCATGATTACTTTTCCCTCATAGACTTATAAAAGTTCAGGTAATCTCTTTGTACAATTAAGAAGATCCTCTATTTACGAAAGAATTTAACGCACTTTGAAAATAATATATTTGCTATCAAAGCTCTATAATATAGATCATATTGACGCACTTTTAAAAAAGTGAACGGATTGGTCATATTCAAGCAAATGCCTATATTTTGTCATATCATTGCAAAACACGTGAGAGTGGAGCATGGGATTAACCCCCCTCCCCGCACTAAAATGCCTTATGTAAGTACGGTGACAATGAACATTAATGTATTTTCAATCTGAAAATAACTGCAATTCAATCTTTATTTTTATTGTATTTTGAGTTTTTTCAAATATGACCTTTAGGGCTACATGTACTAGACGTATAACAAAATAGGGTCCAACTGCATAATAGGATGGTCGTTTTATTGTTATTTGATAGGCTTGAAAAATAAAATGTAAAATCCCGAACAATGTCATGCTACATAAAAACTGTTATTTTTGTCACCCAAATTTTTCCATAAATAAATAACTTCATTCCATATTTCGTTCCATATTTTGTTTCCATAACATACCTATATATATTTGATTAGATGATGAAAAAACCGATATTTGCTAAGTATTAACAGGGAAATAATTATTTTTGAATTTTATACCAATTTTTTGTATTGTATATAGATTTGTAACTAATATAGTTAGTTGGAAAGTATTGCTTTGATCAGAGATATCGTCCCTGAACCTCTCTTCCTTTATATAACTGCAAGTGTATTGTATTTGTAGGATAGTTTATCTCAATTTTTATCTATTTAATTTCTTTCTCAAATTTCTTTAGAGATAGTTTGTTAATGTCATACCAGTAATGCAAATACATATATTTGAGCAGGAAAGATAAGGAGGTGTGCCGAGGGACCTTCTACTTGTCTTTTTCTCGATGAATGTAGTTCATCATTATTTCGAAAGAAACAATAAAATAATGCATTTATTAATTTAATCTCAGTTCAAAATACTTATTTTTAACATATTTTTTCAAAGTAGGTTGAGTGTCTCCAAAGTTAAAAATGGCGATGTGCACTCTAAAACAATTCTGAATTTTTTTTTGCAAAGTACGTTGAATTTGGCCCAATTTAACGCACTTTGGGTTTTTGTCAAAGTGCGCTGATTTTGTCCCAAATTTAACACACCTCGACGATTTTTTTCAAAGTTCGTAATTTTTTTTTTCAAAGTGCGTTGATACAGGACCTAGTTGGTTCAACAATGATAAATTTAATTTTAATTCTAATTAATTTGTTAACATTTAACCATAAAGCCAAACTTCTTTATGATACAATGTAAAAAAAAACAACAGATTTTCAGATGCATATTTTCTTAAAGATCAATACAAGAATTAATCACTAAATTGTTCTTTTAATTCAATGGAGTGGCAACTTTTCATGCAGAAATTCGTACCAAAATAAATATTTAGTTTAGGATTTACTATTTTAAGAATGGATTTCTTTATCGCTAAATAGATTAAATACACAGAATAAACCGATAAACAAGGTGCTAGTCCTTCTGACCAATCAGATAATTAAGAAATAAACAACAATGTTAAAAAGTTTTCTGGGAAATGACTTTTTAGTTGGTCACGTGATCAAATCCTGTGAAGCCTAAAGTGCTTCTCAGTAGATTTGATCACGTACCAACTAAAAGTTAATTTCCCAGTGAACTTTTTAACATTGTTGTTTATTACTTATATTTACATTTGAGACGAATAAATTTCGAGTTGAATTGCAGTATTACCCGAACGGGCCGCCGTATTCCTACGTTGTGACGCGCAATGACCTAGAAGTTGTTTGGTCAAAGTTAGTTTACCTCGCTCCAACATTTGAATGTTTACATTCATGTTTAGCAGTCCAGTTCAGGAAATATACTTGTACATAGTGAAAGAACAATGATCGCTGCTGAGAATAATCTAATTATTCCATAAGTTCTTACAATATTTGAAGTCAACAGCGGCGGTATCGCCTGTTTTACATAACTCAATAGGAATTTCAAGTTAAAAAGGTAAGTGCAGCTTTAGGCTACTCTACAGTATTCAAAACCTTATTCACATCAGAACAACATTTATTGTACACCACGTTATTGAAAATATATCTATATTGTATATCATTTTCTCTTTTTCATCGTTATTAACTTAGAAACATTCTAAAACAAGTTGCATCGTGACAGAAATATGTAACCATGTCCACATAATTATCACATCGCTCTGTGATTCGGTCGCGCTATGACTTCCGACCCCCAAATAACATTCACAGAGAATTGAATATATTTTCACTTTAATAGGTTCATCTGAGAAAGATATTTGCAAATGTAAATATCAGCATTTGTACAAACCAATGAGAAAATAAATAAAACACGTGGTTTTATAGTTTTTTGCTCAAAAGATCTTTTGGAATAATTTTTTTGTAAACTTTTTGCACTTTTAGGTAGAATATAATATTTACGACAATTCTACCGTGAAAAAACACGACTTGAAAGTTTAGAAAACGTTTTAAGTGGGATAAAAGATATGTCACTAAGAGGTAGCAATCCCAAAAGTTAAACTTACCTTAAAATTAGATATAAATACGGAAAATTTTTCAGGTTTTAAAGCCTGACAAAAAAATCTTACCAAATGGATAACAGTCTTAATTATTTTTTGAGTGTTTATAACAAAACCGTCCATGCAGTTTCTGGTATGCAAGGTAAGATATCGATATTTGGATAAAACGCAATCATGTACATAATTAATATTCTCTTTTCTCTACGTTGTACGCCTTTCCTTATGCCCATTTGTAAAACGTCTGCATAGCTTAGTATTCGGCGCTTATAAAATCCGTGATATTTTAAAACTGTAGGTAGTCCATAGTTATAATAAACACTTGTGTGAGGTGGATCTATATACACATGGAATTTAAAAGCATCATCGATGAAAATCGTAGGGCTAAGCAAAATTATATTTACCAACAAATAGTATATGCTGGTAATTGTTATAATTGAACTTGATAAGAACTTGCTGGTGTGATTTATTCTTCTGTAAACGATTACATTGTATCATGCATTTTTTTCTTTAACGAGATTTAAATGTCAAGGTTGTTCATGGTAAATATGTGGGGAATACCTTATTCTTCAAAAGTTTTGATCTTACTTCAAAAGATTTTTTGTTAAAAAAATCTTTTTGAGAAAAAAAAGAACAAAAGCACGTGTTTTCTTTTTGTATTTTTTAAAATATGTTTTGGAGTATGTAAAAATGCTGTTGTCTGATTGGGCAGAAAAAATAATTACGTGTACATGATGTATATTAATGGCAAATTTTAGTTATCGTTCTTGACTTCCATATTTTGAAATCGTCCAGAACTGTTGAAGTTCACACTTTTTTGTCAAACAATAACATGGCTGAAAAATTGCCGACAACAATATTCAATCAATCAATCAATCAAACAATAAATATTTTTATTTATATGTAGTTAAGTTTCCAAATTAGTTCTATTAATTTTTCAATTTTTTTTAACTGCGTGTTTGTCAAAACAGGAAATAGGCATTTAAATTTTGAAACAATAGTAAACACACATACTAAAGTTTAAGAAAATTATAGATTGCATGCTTTTTCCTCCGTGCACCTGAATGGCATGTGGGACTTCATTATCATTCACAAACAATAATGAAAGCAAAACTTCCACTCCCATTTGTTTTTTTTTTACCTTCCTATAGATCTTAAAAAGAATCAAGGCCAGATTCATAACGGTAACCAGCGTAAAGGTCATAGTCAAAATCGTCACCATACGAATCTGAATCATCGTCATACATGTACATATCTAAGTAATCCGAATCATAATATTCATCATAATAAACATCGTCTTCAGAGTCTTCAGGCGTGTTAAAGTACGCAGACATGCTAAAAGAGAAAGTTTTTATTATCTAACAATAAACACAATCAGAATAAATATTACTGTTTTCATGAAAATTACACATTATTGTATATTTCTTATTTCATTAGAGAATGAGTTTTGCTATACCTTTCTTCTTTTTCTATTTGTATTGTTTCCACTTCTTCCATGTGTTCTCTCAAAGACAGAAACGTCTTAATTCGGTCTGGAAGAGGGAGCCGCATTATTTTTGATTCAATTTCAGATCCTTGGCCAACATTGATCAAATGATTTCGTATGACATCTTTACATAAAGACGACAAGGAAAAATCTACGTCTTGAAATATCTCGAGAAGTTTTAAGAACTCCCTCTTATCATTTTCGTAGCAAACTCTGTTATACCATCTTTTCTTAAAGATAAATGAACTCTCAGGCTGTTCTAGGTTACACTTCCTGAAATTCTCATCATTTTGGAAGTCATATCCACATTTTATTAGTGCTCCTGCTGCTTTTAAGTATCCATGTTTTGTTAAATTGGCCAATATTGATTCTTCGCTACTGCTGTCAAAATAAAAATAAAATATGTCTTTAATTTATATAAATAATTTAAAACATCGTTTTAATTGTAATCAAAAGTAAGGTTAATTTTAAATGATTTACTAGTTCTAATTGTAACGTAGATTGAAAATGTTACCAAACGATCCCCTACAGCCTGTTTTTAACGTCCATTTGCTATATATTTATTATATTAAGCAAATTATGACCTTCAACTCGACTTTCAAATATATCAATGACGTAATGTATTGTTAATTAACAACGGTAATTTCCATTCCTACGTCGATACGATATATCCAGGAGAGCTTGAGATTAAAGACACGACAGAGTCTGACACATCTGTCTCATACTTGGATATTTTACTTGAAAAAGACGTTGATGGTAATCTTACAACCAAGCTATATGATAAACGTGAATACTTTAACTTTTCTATCGTCATCTTCCCTTACTTATACAGCAATATACCTTCATCATCTGCATACAGAGTGTATATATCTCAGTTGATTAGCAAGAGCATGCTCTACGTATGAACAATTTCTTAAACGAGTTAAATTATTGACAAGCAAGTTGATAAAACAAGAATTTCAACAGTCTCGTTTGAAGGCATCATTTCGAGAGCCCTACGGTCGATACAATGACCTTGACAAATACAATTTATTATTGAGTCAAATGCTATTGACGTTTTTTATACCAATTGTTAGTCCTTTATTTATACACTGAATTGACGACGGGTTTTTTCCCGTTATTTCCTGATCATGACAAGAAGCACACGGCGGTTGTGACCGGTCGGCAGGGGATGTTCACTCTTCCATTTCACCTGATCCCAACTCTCATGTTTTGGAGGTCCGTGTTTGCTCTGCTCCTGCTTTATTTTGTTTTATGGAGTTTTGATCTTGAATACTCTTCGTTATCTCCTTATGTTTCGTTTCTACTAAATACCTATTTTTTTCATTAAAAATAAACGACAAAAGGCCCATGGGCCACATCATTGACCTTATCACTTTGGCTAGTTATGTATTATTTTAGTAGTGTCAACCTATTCCTATAGGGAAGAGGCAGGATTTGAAGAAACTTGAATTTACACTGAGTATTTTATCATATTTCTTTGACAACTCATGGCTCTTACAGTTTTGAAATAAAATATTCATATACGTTTTATCTTCTATTCGCCCAACCTTACCCCTGCGATCATGATTTGAAAAAAAATTGAATCCACACAGCCTGAGGATGTTGCCACATAAATTAAAATTTTTCTGGTCTAGTGGTTCTGTAGAAGAATATTTTCAAAGATTTCTCCTTTGTATCCCAGACCTATGTAAAACTTAGATCGTCCATAGCGAACCCGCTTTACCCCAAATCTGAATAAAAATAACGTAAAGAAACACGTATGAACAATTTCTAAAACGAGATAAATTACTGACAAGCAAGATGACTAAACAAGAATATCAGTAGTCTCGTATAAAGTCATCATTTCGTAAGTTCTATGGTCGATACAATGACCTTGTCAGCAAATACAATTTATCATTGAGTCAAATGCTGACAACGTTTTTCATACCAATTGTTAGTCCATTATTTATACACTGAATTGACGACAAATTTTTTCCGTTATTTCCTGATCATGACAGGGAGCACACGGCGGGTGTGACCGGTCGGCAGGGGATTCAAATTCCTCCATGGCACCTGATCCCACCTCTGATGTTTTTGGGGTCCTTGTTTGCTCTGCTCTTATTTTATGGACATTGAGATTGAATATTGTTCGTTATCTCCATATCCTTCTTCATATAAATATGACCAATAATTGTTTGTGGATCTTGAGAAGAAAATTTTTCTCAGATTTCTCCTACGATTCCTGTGTAAATCTTTGATGATACATTGTGGCCCCACTCTTCGCCAGGGGGTCATGATTTGAACAAAGAACTATATGCGGTATTAACCAACATTTGCCCCCCAAAATCAAACTTTGATGGAGTAATATTCAATTAAGTCCTTAAACAGGGGAGTATATGCTGACTTCAAAGCACTGAATAATTTCATAAGTAATGACGTCATATGTACGTAATGACGTCACAAATATGACGTAAATTTCAGTTTTTTATGAATTTTGCAGAAAAATGTACATATTTCGTCGATATTTTAAATAAAAGTCACCGAGCGCATGTGTGTTCAGGATTAATATTTTGATATAATGTGTAGAATGATAATATCAATGAAATATGTCAATATTGTTCCTGAACACACATGCGCTCTATAAATTCTAAAGCTTAAATTGTTGAAATTTTGTCCATTTTGTCCTCTTTCTGAAAAAGGATATAAAATCGGACTAGTTTGTGACGTCATAAAAACAGAAATTGTGAATACACTGCTCTGGAACTATAATATTTTCTGTTAACTTATATTTCTCGTACAATTTATTGAATTCAGCACATTTCAGGAAGTTTTCAAAATTTGACTTTTGTGGGGGCAAACATATGCAATATACCGCATATAGTTCTTTGAATCTACATTAAATAAAGATGCTTCCACATAAATTTCAATTATTATGACCCAGTGGTTCTGGAGAAGAATATTTGAAAAAGATGTCATTATTTTTGCTACTAATTTGTAATTATTTCCCCATGGAAGTAGTGGACCTTCGTTTGAACAAATAATTCCCTTTACCCATGCAAAGATATTGTATGCGTACTTAATTTGGCTTATTCAAAATTCAGCGTAATCACCGGGTATAGACTTGTTTGCGTCATCATAAATTAGTGCTACACATGTCCGTTCGGTATAATGTGTACTTGTAGTTATGTGAACTATTTCTTAGCGCTATTCATGACTTAGCTCATTGTTGTCTGTGCCAAAGCCGCTAAAATATAAAGCCCACTTTTTAAAGTACACATACAGATTGTTGAAAGTTTGGTTGAAATTGGCCCAGCGGTTCTTGAGAAGTAAAAATTTGTAAAATTTAAAGAAGGACACACAGACAGATGGACGACGGACAAAATGTGAGCAGCAAAGCTCAAGAGCTACCAAGTATTCGCTCAAATTAGCTAACAGCTGCCCAACATGTCTCCAAAGAAAGTAATGTTATTTACATCCAAAAAAGAGAGAAAACAAAGAAAAAAGTTACTGCCCCTGTGGAATTCGAACCTCCCAGCAAGGGGACAATCGGGTGATCGGTCATCTCTTTGCAATAAATGCACGCATCAAGATGTTGAAAACATAATAATAAGAATTCTTAGAAAACACAGCAAACCCCGAAGAAAAAGAGGGAAAACATCAAAAAAGAAAAAAATGGACTACATGTATTTGAATTCACTTTCGTTTGCAATGTCGAAGATGAAAACTTAAGGTCGATCAGCATATCCATATGTGATGCTCTTTGCCAGGTAAGACGAAAGGCCTTACTAATTAATAATAACAAGAAGAAACGGAGTAAAACCAAATGAAAATAAGAAACTGAGAAAAACAATAAGTTTGTAGACATCAAATAGTGAACATTATCACTCCAAATACTATCATGTTGCTTTATAATTTACATGAAGTAAAAAAACTAACCAGAGCAATGTTTTCATTTTTGTACCAAAAAACGATCCCCCACAAATTAACAAATTAAACAATGAGAGGTCAATTTCTGCATATGTTCTTGTCTCCATCTGAACAATTTTCTTCGAATTTCTTTCTTTTGTGATCCTTTTTATGAGATTTGAAAGAGGAAATGTCCCATATGTATTTAATTTGTTAACACTGCACCCGTGATTCAGCAAAAGTGTAGCTATCATCTTTCTCTCAGTGTCTTTTTCTGCAAGAGACGAAAATTAAAAATTTACAACTTATAACTCAAGAATAAAAAAAGTTGATCAATGAATAACTCGAACCATGAATTTAAAGGTTAATCGTATCTTTGTTAGATGTGTAACTTTGACGTCTATTTTTCAAAATATTTCACAGCTTTAAATAAAATGCAAATAATTTAACTGACAGAAATCATTAACTAGGAACTTTTAAATGGAAAAATACCGTTAACCATAGAATAGCCCTTATCAGATGCTCGTAGAACATAAGCCTAAGTTTTATTTGAAAACGAGGTTTAAAGATATGCTTGATTACACTACTGTATGCATATAAAAATTAAATTATGTATTAATTTGAAGATTGACCAAGTATGAATTATAAGTAATCTCTTACTTAAATCGCAGGCTAAATGCAAACACGTGTTTCCATTATTATCAGTTGCGTGAATATCAACTCCTTTATCTAATAACCCTTTCACTACTTCTGGACATCCGGACTCTATTGCTGATAACAAGATCGGTTTTTTGTCTTTGTAAGTAATTGGATTAGCTCCAATATCCATCATTTTTAGTATAAATTCGCTCCATTCAGCGTTTGGTTTGTTATAATTTATGTTCAGTATGGCCTGATGCAACGCACAATCTTTGTCCGGATCTGCTCCCTTCGACATTAAATGGATTCCAATACGCGCTCTTCCGGCAGGGTCTGTAAAAACGGCAACATGTGATGAAACTGACGTAAGCTTAAACTTGTTGTCAATATTTTTTTTTTACAAAAATGATCTCATTTGCATGTTTTATACGCAATTCTTTTAAAGAACCCTTTTTTTAAATACCAGAAAGCAGATAAAATCTCGAAGTTTAATTCATTTAATTGAATTTCAGCTGACGATAATTTACTTAACAATGATCATTGACTCACTGTACTTAAAGGAGAGTTATATTTTAAAATACCTTTTTTTCATTTATATCAGCGTTTCTTTTTACGCGCATGTTATAAAACAATGTTAACATTTTTTGATACCTGCATACTGTACTATGTCATACTGTTCTATGGGTAATAATAGAAAATATATTTTGTGATCTGCTGCACAATTATATTACTTTTTATACTACGGTGTTTTGTTTCCATTTACATTAAAGATAAAAGAAGCAAATGTGCACATTCATTGTATTTGTCAGCATTTCAATTGCTTTACGATAATAACTATGCGAGTGAAATCTGAATATAGTTTACGGACATCACCTTATACCTAGTATAATCCTAATGGAGAAAGTATGAACTCTGGCAAGCGTTTCGGAGTTTATCTGCAAGTTTATTAATTGTTATGTTTATATGTCCGTCGTAAGGGGAAAAGTTTTCATCTCATTTGTAATGAACACTATCTCCATGTTTAGACACAAAGTTGATTATACAAGAACAACTTGGTATTGCCCTTTGTACGCTAAAACAACATAGATATATCCGAAGACAAAGAGATAATAATGAGTTTTTGATTACTGAGTATGAAGTTTGACTGTTCGAACAAAGCGTGGAAAAACTAGCAGTTTGTTAAAATTTTGCGATGTAATTTTTTTTTCATTGTCTAATCAAATGGTCCTGGTTTTACTAGGTTACAAATATTTATTTTAATAGTAAAGATATCAAACAATTTATCATGAAAGACATCTTTCACATTCGCAATCTTATAGGAAAGAGTAACTAATAAAATCTTTATATAGTCATTATAGAAAAACAGATGTACATCTGTAACTGCAATTTTATTTTATAGTATTTATATTACATGAGATTGTATACAAATTAAGGGGGAGGGTTATGTCCGAGAAGTCTTATAAAATATTATCGAAATCCATCACTTTTGATTTATATCTCCATTTATCTAACTTTATGTTTTTCACAATTAGACACTTAATTTTGAGGACAATAAAGCTCCCTTCAGTTTATAATGTCTTAATTTAGATGTTTTTCAAATGCTATCGTGAAATAATTAAGTCGGATACGATGGCATACAGACACGAAATAATTTGAAATATACATGAAAGGACATGATAGAATAGCGATGTGTCTGCGACAATTAAACTGGTTCTGTATAAAACAAACTGATTATTCACCGTGAGAAAAACATTCCAATATCAGGGCTTGAAATTAAAATTATGTCCTGTGCCAAAAAGTTGAATATTCGAGGAAATTTATTTTAAAACTAGTTTATAAGATTGTAAGACTTCAAAAGAAGTATAAGACTTAGTCTTAAATGAATACATATTATTACAATTGCGCTTGAGAAAGACATATTACAAATAATGATGGCTATTTGCATTTTAAATTACCTACCACCACTTTTTCCGTTACAAACAATGGATAAAGGGGAATGGCCATAATCATCTAATGCATTAATGTCAGCCCCGCAGTCAAGAATCTTCTGAATAATATTTTCCATCTTGATTTTTTGATTTACCGTGTGGGGACTATTAAGTTCTGGGTTTAGTGCAGTTTCCCCGTCAGAGTCTTGAGCATTTACCATGTTTACATTTCCATTATCCGACGTATATTGTACGTAATCTGAAAAAAATATCTAAATATTTAAACATATTTAAATTCAAAAGCTTAAAGTACACTAAAGTCAACCCGAGCCTTTAAATTCCCACTTAATCGGGTGTTGATAACAATGACAGAGTAATTTTGTTTGAGAATTCTTAACATAATAAATAAAGTTGTTTTTGAAAAAAAAATTGGAAAAAACTGTTCATAAAGTATAATATATATAGGCAAAAGCTGTTGCCATCCTTATTAAATATATTAACATTGTATTTGGATGAATGAAACATAATCATGAGCAAAGCAAACAAAAACTGGGATGAGAACAATTTCAAGGAGGCGTTAAAGTCACCATTCGACTGGTCCACCCACTGATTGCCTTCAAATCAAATTTCAAAAACCATCAAATTAAGTTTGTTCTATTACTTCAGATGCTAAAATTTAATGTATATCTATTACATACTTTGACAGATGAAAAAAATCCAAATAAATAAATGAATAAACAAACAAGACGTTGAAGGACGTCACAAAGCAGCGAATAGCGATAAAATTTGGTTTTGCATTTGGGAAAAGTCTAAAATAAAATCTGGCAAAAAAAAAAAAAAAAAAAAAAAAAAAAAAAAATGAAAAGAGAGTTCTTGAGTAGTCAATAATTTGAATCGGTCGATGAACGTTCTGAGAAAAAACAGATAATAGTTTAAAATCTTGTCAAAAGAATTTGTAACGACATGAAACGTTGTATGCGCTTCACTGTTGCAGAACTTGTGAAAACAAAGTTACGCGGTAGAGAATTTGAAAACTAGATGTCAATGTTATGGATACATTTTTATAATTGGGGAAGACACTGCAAACCGTATATGAATGAAAAGCAATTAATTTTGAGAAACTTTCTTGCTTTTGACTTTACAATGTTTTTAGCCTTGCTCCATGTTGACAAAACATGGTGTTTTTAAATTTGGTCAATATGACTTCCATTTATCAAATGGAGGGAAACCACACATCTACAAAATAATTGCTTTTTACATCTGGAAAAGTGTTGATCATAAATCTTGTAAAATATACTATGTGGAGATTACCAACAGTAATCAAATTCAAAAATCCATTGAACAATACAAATTTTGGGCCAGAGCAAACACAGGTATCTAAAATATTTGAGGTGGGAACGTCCCCTGACAACCCGTAACACCAGCCACGTGCTCCTTGTCATGATCGGGAAATCAGTTTAGAATTTTCGAAATCAGTTAGAATGAAAAACGTCAGTCAGCATTTGACTTAATGATAGATTGTATTTGCCGATAATTTTATTGTATCGACCATAGAAATTACAAAATTATGGCTTTAAAAAAAGACTGCTGATATTCTTGTTTCATCAACTTGTTTGTCAATAACTTACCTCGTTTGAAAAATTATTCATACGTAAAACATGCTCTTGCGTATCAAAACAACTGAGAGACTCCGTATGGAGGTGATGAATGTACATTGTATATTGTAGCACACGTAAAGGGAAGCGATAAAATATAATGAAATCTATGACGTTATAATATAGACATTAAATGTTCCCCTAACTTTGAAGTTATAATCACTTTTACTATGATACTATTGTATCTCCATTTTTGTCAAGCTTCTGAAGATTGAAAATAAAAACCCTTAAGCTTTAAAGAGGTTTTATAACTTTCTTTTTGAATTTTTTAAAAAAATATTGTTATGCGATTATTGAGACTTTGTTTCAATTTTGATATACTTGCCTAAAAATTTGAACAAATTGCTATTCTTGAGTGTCCATCCGTTGATGCATAATAAATCCAAGATAATTACATTTGCTTGGTAATAGACCTGCTTCAAAAAGCCTGGTAGTGTGAACCCTTAAATGTATATAAAATGCCCCGCCAATGGTTCATTAGTAATGCAACATCAAAAGAACAAGGTACAGTTTTAAAACAAATTTGGCCCTGTATTTTGATACCCCCCGCTTGAAAAGCGGGAGGGTATATAGTAATCGGTATTTCCGTCCGTCCGTCCGTCCGTCCGTCTGTTACGCTTTGGGGTACCCATCTCTTAACCGCAACTTCTCTCATACCACCGAAGGAAATTTCATGAAACTTTCACAGAATCTTTATTACTTTTTGCCATTGTGACTTCCTATTTTACTCTTTGATCTGACATATATTTTGGATTTTCCAGAGCAAAACATGGACACTGCCATTTTATTCATATGGGAGGCGGGGGTATCATTTAGTGAGCTCATTGCTCACAGTACCTCTAGTCAATATAAAAGTGGCCAAAAAATTAAAATTTATGCTTTTGACTCCATGGAAACCCCATGTATGAAGAACAATGCCATACAATCGTATTTTTCGTATGACCTCCTCAAGGCTAATTATTACGTCTTGAACCTAAGTATGCATTTTCCTGCTTTTTCTTAAACAATCAGCAGTCTTATCTCAAGAAATAACTTGTTACATAAAGCCTTAGACAATTTGTTGCGTAAAAATAAATAATTTCAACAAATTTGATGGTTACAAAGTAGTATATTTTACCTTTTATATCTTTAATACTCCCATGGTAATTTTTGAATAACACATGCAATGCTGTTGGGCCGTCTTCAATTTCATTTACTTTCGCGCCATACTCTAGAAGTAGAGCAGCAACATTTACAGAGTTAATTTGCAATGCCGCTACAAGCGGGTTGTTGTGTTTCAGCTGTATATTTGGATCGGCACCACTATCTAGCAGGAATCTTACAGTTGTCTCAAATTCATCAGAAATGTATTCATTTCTAATGAGAAGAAAAAGAGGTGTCTCTCCATTTTTGTTGATCTCATTCACAGAAACGCCCTTTTCAACTAGATATTTCACCATTTCTTTCAAATTCTTTGTAAAACCTGAAATTAATATCTTTTATGAAAATACTGTTAACTGATTGAGATTCAGTGATGAAGAAAAAATACTATATTATATTCACCTGCACGTGACGTTCCAGGTAAATATAAGGATTTATTTTTTCTACATTGATCTAAAAATAGAACGGGAGATTCCAAATTGCTTCAAATAATTTTGAAAAGCTATTTCACAAGCTACCAACTTTACTAACGTTAATAAGTTAATATAACATTAGATAATATATAATTTGGGTTAGGGGTGTTAAAGGGGGTGCACTACAGAGAAAAAATCCCCACCCCCGAGACTTTTTAGGAAATGTTAATTTTAAACTTTTTTCAGCTTTCAATTTCCCCTGATAATCTTCCCTCTTTTTAAAATTTATCCTTAAAGTATAAAAGAGCCCGATATATATTTTTTTTCATGACATTTATAAACGTAGATGAAACATATGGAAATAACGAACAGTATTCAAGATCACAAGTCCACAAAACAGTAAAAAATAGGAGCAGAGAAAACACGGACCTCCAAAATATCAGAGGTGGGATCAGGTGCCATGGAGGAGTAAGCATCCCCTGCTGACCGGTCATACCCGCCGTGTACTCCTTGTCATGATCCGGAAATAACGGAAAAATCCGTCGTCAATTCAGTTTATAGATTTTAATATTACCAAATTAATATGACTGATGATGTTTATTTACATTCTAACTGCTTGTCAAATGTTGGCTTCAGCAAATGGAAACAAGTATTAGATGTATCATCATATCATTAAATCATATAATAAATCAATCATTACTGTTTTTTCGGTTAATACAATGATTTAACTACCGTCGAAGTACAATTTTCATCTCGCACGTCTGAGCGGTGAATATTGCACTCTTCAGGTGGCTAAATCATCGTATTGTCCTAAAAAAACAGCAAAAATTGTATAGTATTCTTATATTTTGTAAATATTTGTAAATTCCTTTGAAATATACTTGTACGTTGGGGTTCTATGGTACCGGTGTAGTTTTGCTTGAAGGTTGAAAACAAATCTAAATACAATAAATGTCACTCATGAACAATAAAACACAAGTTTCAATTATTTATATGTATCAGCTTGAAATGGTTTTGTTTACTCACTACATTTTAATAGCCATTCTCTGTAAGCATTTAAATTCTTATATGTATTGTATGTAGGCAGTGTGTCAAGCTATGTCTTGGATTTCAATGAAACTTGTCACACATTCCTATATTGATGTTTGAAGCAATAAAATGGTTGCTATGGTCCATGGTTACCATGGTAACCAACATACACTTTTCATCCCCTAAAAATCCCTAAATTTTGCTGAAAATGAAACCCCCTCTTTTATTTTTTTTTTTTTTTTTTTTACATATAACTCTTTAACAGAACAAGATATTTTCATGACTTTACCTCCTTGCCAAAATAGATCATTTTATAGTTCTTTAGATAATTCTAAATATTTCAGTAACACTACCTCATAGAAAAAAATATCTCCCCCCCCCCCACCGTTTTTAGGTAGGATTTTTCTAGGGGAAAATTGTAGATTTAAGGCTCCTTTTAAAAACCTGGTATATTTTTTTCGGACAAATGGGAAAAAATAAATACATTGGTTTGAAAGTCCACATATAGTTCAAATGTAAACTTCAAAGAATCACTTCGTATTCATATTTAGTTTTGGTAGAATGTTTGTAGGAGGTGTCAGAAATTTATTTTCATTATTAATAAAATGCAGCTTGACAGATTTAATATTAATTGTACTGCTCTAAAGTTAAATCTTAATGTATCTTAGTCTAGAGTAATGATAAACCGTTAACTTTAAATTTTGTTCAGACAATTTGTATTTTTATGCGACTATGCCAAAAAATCAAATTGAATTAAATTTTTGACTGGTCAACAGGAATCAAACAAAACATTTCTCACTTGTTTATCATGTTTAAAACCGCGTGACACGTCTGCGTTTACTATGGGTTTGGGGACGATCATTTTATCCAGAAAGAGGAGGGAGATTCTTCCGAGTTAGAATTTTTTCATTGTAGCGAAGTACAGATTATTTATTTCTAAGATGATCTTTAGGGCAGATTATTTATATTTAGCTACACTAAAAAAAAATTGACGAACCAAAAAAAAAAAGGTAAAGAAAATGCTCAAACTCTCTTTCGTTGGGAAGGGGGCAGCACTTGCTCTGGTAACAATTTTTTAACACACATATACTTTACTAATCTGTAGGTTTAAAAATTTCTTTCTGAAATACGAAAGCCCATTGGCCTAATTTCCGTAGGTTAAAAATATTTTTTTTTCGGATTATAACACACAATCTTTTGCAAATATACGTGTAACTTTCGCGTTATTACACGCAGGTTTTGTGTTATTACGCAAATGTTTCGATAAATAACGCGAAACTTTTGCTTAGTTTCGCGAAATATGCATATAGAAATGTAACTCAGGGACCTTGATCTTGAAAGGGAGATAAGAAAACGAAGACGGTAACTTTTATGAGTTTATTTATAAAATTTCATTTCCTCAGAAGGTGTACAGGAGAAATGATGCGAGAATACGAAGGAGCTGATTAGTTTTCCGAATTTTGCATTTCATATCAAACCTTCCAATTAATAAAATAAATTTAGTATCTCGTACATGTTTTTTTTTCAATCGTTGAATTCAAGAAATACTGTAGATTATTTTGTTTTAAGGAAAATCTCCACTTTACACTTAAATTCTCTCCAATATTTATATATACGAGGGGTCATTGAAGAGTTCTTGAACTAGCGCCATAAATTAGAACTGTTGAGGTAAACAGCAACTAGTTTGTACACTTTGAATATTAACAATGTTTTTATAAGCAGTGTATGACCACGTGGCGCGATTTCAAATTTCTACAGCGAGTCTAAGGGAGACAAATGAACATTTGCCATCCGATTTGACCTTTGTGATGGGACGCAACAGACAAATTTACCTCATTTTGTAAATTCTCTGAGATCTTGATCTTAATAATATTAAATTCTCTAAAGAGTGTTAGAAATGACGCCAGAAAATGGTAATTTTTATCCCGAAATTCATAATCATGAAGTGTAACTTTTGGAAAACTGGGATAGACTTTGAATTGTTTACATATCTTTGAGAAAGACAAGATTTGAGAGTAAAAAAAGACAGAGGAAAGACACATTCAATAGCAAGAAAACCTAAAATTGTAGCTTGTGATGGTCCAAGAACAAAATAGCCTTTTGCTATTGATTTTAATGAATAAACTGGATCACTGGTTCGCATTATAACGCGAAACTTATGCGTATGTTCGCGAAAGTTTTGCGTGAAATCGCGAAAGTTTCGCTTAATAACGCGAAAAAATTATTATTTTAATCTAGGCCTTTCCAAGTTTTTTCTCTGTTTAGCGTCCACCCATCTTTCAAAAACCTACCTACCTATTCGCAAAAAAAAAAAAACAAAACAAAACACGCAAGCCAAAACATAAAACACGGGCTTTAAAGTCATAAAAATGACGCCCTTCGAATGATTTGATCTAAATAAACTGCTTCAATAAAAGAAATATCTATTCTAAAGCAAAAACAAGGGATTGAATGCTTAAAATACACCCAATATAACTTACTGTACAGAATTATTTGGAGAAATTGACAAAATTAAAAAAAATTTCGACTAAATTTATCAATTTCAGGACTCCTAATGTTGTGTGTTTTTTCTTATATGGGGTGTCAAAAACCAAGGCGCACGCGGACGCAGTACAAAGAAAAAACTTGGAATGACCTTACGACAGTAAGCTCAATGGGCTTTCGTACTGAAATAAGTGCCTGTGGATGGGAATAGTAGTCATTAAAAAGGATAGATTATTTATTTTCCTTTGAGTCAAGGACAGATTTTCATTTATTTTCAAAAGATTTTAGGTTTCTGTAATCAAATTCGGTTTTTTAATCAATGGCTTTCTACAGTTGTGTCCATTATATTACTGCAGTATATCACTCTGACACGCTAATTCTGATATATTAAGTTTATCTTTAATCCCTATTTTGAAACAGATGTTTTAACTTGAATTCTAGGATATACAGCGTTGTATGTTTACAATATGTAAACAACTTCCAGTCAGTTTTGTCCAATGATTTTTTATCTCTCTCACTGAAGAGCTAACAATTATTAAAAGGATATAATTCAATTTTAAAGTGAATGTCTGCTATTGTAATCAAAGATATCTTATATTTATAGACTAAATACCAACAAGTTCTTAAAATGCCTTTTAAAAAATAGATGTCATAGATCTATTTCTTATTTATGTAACATGAATTGGAGTAGCCGCATTTCATTAAAACATTCCCAACCATTGCAATTAAAAAAAAAAAACAAAACAAAAAAAAAAAAAACAACAACAAAAAAACAAACTTTAAACACTGTTTCTATGGTAACTACTCAACATCCATGTGTTTTAATAATAATTTTTGAAATAGTTTATGAGGTGGTACTTTCATTCAAGCCAAATTTGGAGAACAAAATCTGTGACTATGCATGCAACAAAAGTTTAAGTGCTTACAGAGAATGGGTATTAAACAGTCCATAAAAATTACATCGTCGTAAGTACAAGTGTCAAGGCACTTACTATGATACCGGTCCATTTGGTATGTATGATGCATCATTAGCGTTACAATTAGCAACATTTTGTCTTAAATTTCAATAAACAAAAAGGAGGATGCATTTGGATAAAACATTTTCATGCTTATTTGCATTCATATATAAAACGATTTTGACTCTTTCATTATTTGTAATTTATTCTTTGAGACACTACATATATACATAATTTTTCAACAATGGTCACATGATATATTTTGATGGTTTTATCTCATAAAGCCTCAGGGGAACAGTTGTAAATGAATTCAATTTTTTACCCCACCATCATCCGGTATTAAATTTTGTTCAGTAGTTCAAGAAAAGAAGCTGAAGATGTTCAGAGTTTTCCATCGACGAACTATGTGTGACGCAGACTAAAACAGATCGCAATCAGTTAACCCAGTGATGCAGGTGAACTGAAATCACGTTCGTTCATAAACTTAAAATTTCTCATATGTTTTTCTCATACAAATCTTGATAACAGAAACATACGGAAGCCCATTTAGGACCTATCAAAAAATATTTTTGAATTCGTTATAACGATTTTTAGAATTCGTTGTAACGAATTTTATTTGTTATAAGAGATTCATTGAATTCGTTATAACAAATTTAATTTGTTATTACAAATTTATTGAATTCGTTATAACGAATTTAATCTGTTATTACAGATTTATTGAATTCGTTATAACGAATTGAATTTGTTATTTCAGATTGATTGAATTCGTTATAACGAATTTAATCTGTTATTACAGATTTGTTGAATTCGTTATAACCAATTCAAGAATTTGGTTATAACGAATATACAAATTTCCGCAAGGATTCTAAAATTAAAAAATGTTTTTAAATATTTAAGGAATGTTTAATACATGTCACGTAGGTGTTAGCGCTTCATGAAAATATGTTTTAAGATATAGTAAATTTACAAGTTAGTACTGGATAGTAATCAGAAGTCTCTTTCGAGACTGAAGCTCTACTGGTTTTTACTTATACAATGTAGCAAAGAAAGAAAAAAGTAGTAGTTGGGAATTAAAACTTTACAACAGCAATAAATAGAATAATGATCCTTGATTAAGTCTCTTTATGTTCTTTAGTGTAGTGTACTTGCATGTCACATTATATATTATAATCAGACTAAAACTGTATTTGGGATAGCATTTTGATAGTATTTTACAGAAATTTCTATCTTTAGTAACCAAGGCAATAATGTTCATCGAAATCAAAAAATGATAAATAGAATTGTGTATCTATGTGTAGTCTACTTCTGTGCCAAGTTATATTGAAATCAGACCAAAACTGTAGGAGGAGTAGCATTCTGAAACAATTTCACAGAAATTTCTATTTTTAGTAACCACGGCAACACTGTTCATCGAAAACAAAAACCGATATACAGAATTATGTATGTTAGTGTAGTCTTCTTCTGTGCCAAGTTATACTGATATCAGACCAAAGCTGTAGAAGGAGTAGCATTGAGTCATTGCTACCTTGTCTTAATGCATGTACAGTTGAACCAAGTTACAGGTCTGATCACTCTATGATGTCTATGGTTTTAACTTTTAATGATTTTAAAAAAGGAAGGGGTCTTTGGAAATTTAACAACTCCCTACTTAGTGATAAGCAATACTTAGATTGTATCAGAGATGTTATCTCAAAGGTGAAAAAGCAATATGCACTTCCTGTCTATGATCATCATAATATTGATACTTTTCTAGATGAAAACATCTATTTTACCATTGACGATCAATTATTTCTAGAAACTCTACTTATGGAAATAAGATGGAAAAACATATCATACTCTGCATATCTAAAAAAGAAACAAGTTAATGAAGAGAAAGCATTACTCGAAGAAATAAAGACATTAGAAGAAAATATTTCTGAACACAATGTGGAGGAAATAAATGAAAAAAAGCAAAATTTAGAAAAACTTAGAAAAACACAAACTTCAAGGTACATATATAAGAAGTAGAGAAATGGGTGGAAGAATGGGAAAAACCATCTCACTATTTTTGTGGTCTAGAATCAAGAAATTTTATTAGTAAAATAATTCCCAAACTTGTTAAAAACAATGGGGAGATAATTCAAAACCAATTTGAAATTTTGGATAAAACAAAGCAATTTTATGAAAATTTATACATTACACCTAACAAAGAGTTTAAAAAATATGACTTAAATTCTGAATTAAATTTCAAAAATATACCCAAGTTATCATTAGATGAATGTGCATCTTTGGAGGGTAAAATTACATTACAGGAGGCTTCTAATACACTTAGCAAAATGAAAGCAAATAAATCACCTGGTTCTGATGGGTTTTCAGCAGAGTTTTTTAAGGTCTTTTGGCGATTTCTCGGAGTTTTTGTTATTAGGTCAATTAATTATGCTTATGAAAATAATAGTCTTTCAGTCACACAGAGACATGGAATCATTACACTTTTGCCTGAAGGAGAAAAACCAAGGCAATATTTGAAAAACTGGCGTCCAATTACACTTTTAAATAAAATAGCCTCTGGCGCTATTGCAAATAGATTAAAGACTTATTTGGATAAACTTATCAATCCTGATCAAACAGGTTTTATTTCTAACAGATATATAGGGGAAAACACTCGGCTTATCTATGATATAATGCAGTACACTGAGGAGGAAGAAATTCCTGGTCTTCTACTTCTTATTGATTTTGAAAAAGCCTTTGATACTGTTTCATGGAAATTTATACAAAAAACCTTAACATATTTTCAATTTGGACCTGATATACACAAATGGGTGAAATTATTCTACCATAATATAACTTCTGCTATTAATCAAGGTGGCAATCTCTCAGCATCCTTCAATATCCATAGAGGCTGCAGACAAGGGGACCCGTTATCACCATATATTTTTCTATTTTGTGCAGATAATGAAAAGAAAATTTCGCAACTAGCTGATGATACCTCAATTATCCTTGATGGTAGCAAGGAATCACTGTTAGAAACAATCAAAGTATTAGAACTTTTTTCAGATATATCGGGACTAAGAGTTAATTTTTCGAAAACTAATACAGTATGGATTGGATCCAAAAAATATAGTCAAGATATCCTTTATAGAGATTTTAATCTGAAATGGGGGACTAATAGATTCACTTTACTTGGAATTAATTTTGATGTAGAACTTCAAAATATGTCTAAATTGAATTATCAGCCAAAGTTAAGCAGAATAAACTCAATCTTGCATCAGTGGGAGAAAAGACACTTAACACCAATAGGAAAAATCACTGTTATCAAAACTTTGGTTCTGCCTTTATCAAATCATATTTTTATGGCAATTCCAAACCAGGATGACAATTTTTATAAAGAGTTGGATAAAGTATTCTTTTCCTTCCTTTGGAACCACTCTCAACATAGAATAAAAAAGGATGTAATTGTTAAAACATATGAAGATGGGGGATTAAAGATGATAAATGTAAAGGCTTTTACATCTTCTTTAAAATTATTTTGGATGCGAAAACTCCTACTGTCAAATAGAGATATACACGATTTTATACCAATGTTAGATGTAAATAAAGTTACAACATGTGGAATTAAATATATTAAAAATATTAAAAAATCACTAAAAACAAATTTTGGGTTGATGTATTTGACTCATGGATTGAGCTACATCATAAGCAAAACCCAACTGCAGTTACAGCAAATGCTCCACTTTTTTTATAATCCCAACATCATTGTTGGGGGGAAAGTATTTTTCAATAAATCCATGTTTGATGCTAATATCCGACACCTTAATGATGTTATAAATGAAGAAGGTGTTTTCTTGACTTATGAATCTGTTTGTGATATATATTCACAAGTGAAAATTAATTTTCTAGAATACATGAGTGTTATAAGTGCTATTAAAGCATGGATGAAAAAAGTAAATTTTGATGGAAATGTAACTAAATGACAAAACCCTCTGGTTATGTAAAATATAAATACCCTTTTAGAGTGCAAAAAATCAAGGATTTTATAATCTTCTCAACCAAAATAGCACAGAACCTACCGGTAAAAGAAAGTGGAATGAAATATTTGAACTAAATGACAAAGAATGGAAAATGATTTTTAAATTGCCTTTTCAATTTACAAACAATTGCAAACTGCAATGGTTCCAGTATCGAATCTTGAACAAAATTTTGGCCTCAAACTCATATCTATTCAAAATCAAAATCATAGACAACAAATATTGTACCTTCTGTCAAGTAGAAGAAGAAACAATCGAACATTTGCTTTGGGAGTGTGATCATGTACAAGATTTTTTAAGAGAATTTGAGAATAATTTGAGAACCTTGAAAATAAAACAAATCTTCAGCTATCAGTAACAAAAAATAATTTCTTTTTTGGATTCTTAGATAAAAGGAAAAAGATACAAAATAATCTTTTTCTATGGCTTAAATATTATATCTACACATGAGGTGCACAGGGAAGACACTTAATGTACCTGCTGTGATATCGCTTATGAATTCATTTTATGAAACTCAAAAATATATTGCATACAAAAATGGTGAAAAGGATATGTTTGATACCTGCTGGAACTACTGGAAGCTTTTATTTCAATGAATTTTTAGACTGATATAAATATTGTGAATGCATGCACTCCTCTCTTCTTCCCCCCTCCTCCCTCTCTCTCTTTCCCTCTCTTTCTAAAATGAAAAAATTACACCTTCTGTATTTGTTATTAATCATTTATTGTATTAAATAACAGAATGTGTAAAACAAAAATAAAGAATTATTTTAAAAAAGTCTCTTTATGTTCTTTAGTGTAGTGTACTTGCATGTCACATTATATATTATAATCAGACTAAAACTGTATTTGGGATAGCATTTTGATAGTATTTTACAGAAATTTCTATCTTTAGTAACCAAGGCAATAATGTTCATCGAAATCAAAAAATGATAAATAGAATTGTGTATCTAAGTGTAGTCTACTTCTGTGCCAAGTCAGAATATTGAAATCAGCCCAAGTAGCATTTTGAAACAATTTCACAGAAATTTCTATTTTTAGTAACCATGGCAACACTGTTCATCGAAATCAAAAACCGATATACAGAATTATGTATGTTAGTGTAGTCTTCTTCTGTGCCAAGTTATACTGATATCAGACCAAAGCTGTAGAAGGAGTAGCATTTTGAAACAATTTCACAGAAATTTCTATTTTTAGTAACCACGGCAACACTTCATCGAAATCAAACCTGATACATAGAATTATGTTTCTTAGTGTACCCTACTTGTGTATTAAGTAATATTGAAATCAGACCAAAACTGGAAGGGGAGTAGCATTTTGAAACAATTTCACAGAAATTTCTATTTTTAGTAACCACGGCAACATTGTTCATCGAAATCAAAAACCGATACACAGAATTGTGTATCTTAGTGTAGTCTACTCGTGTGCTAAGTTATATTGAAATCAGACCAAATATGTAGGAGGAGTAGCAATTTGAAAAATTGTTTACAGACAGACGTATGAACGGACGCCGGACGCATCACTATCGCATAACCTCTTCTGGTCTCTGACCAGTAGAGCTAAAAATGATATTTATTAAAAATCTACGCTTCAATTTTCGTACAGTTTGATTTTTATTTACACATGGGAATCCTATATTATTTCATTATACAAAACGTAGTCGACAAAAATTACTCCCATCTCTTGCGCAGTCAGAAGATGGTCCGTTCTCGCGAAAACATGGAAACAGTCATGTAAAATAATTTTACAGGCTTCATAGATTAGGCCCCTACAGGAAAATTAAATTTCATGACTAAAAAAAAAGTGTAGACCAAGTGTTGACTTAGTAAATTAAAGTAGCATTACCTGCCATTTTACCTTTAGATAACAAAAGGTGGAGGCATGTATTTCCTTTCCCATCTTTGTCGCAGAAATTCGCCCCTTTGCACTCTAAAAGCTCCATTGTGCTCAATCGTCCTTTCCATGAAGCGAGATGTATAGGTGAAAGACCTGAATTATTTCTTCTTGCTACAACATACTTATCGCAAGCAAGAACTGAAACAATTTCATCTGTCAAATCTTTTAAGTCTTCCTGTTTTGGTTCGTCGTACATTTCGGACATCAAATACAACATGAGAGGCGTGTTTCCTTGGGAGTCCACTTCATTCAAATGTCCTCCATGTTTTATATACACCAGTAAAAAATCCAGACATTCCTTTCGTGACCCTTTTTCATTTCCTGCAAATTGCAATGTTTTCTAAAGAAATATTTCAATGAATGATTTTGAAAAAAAAATACAGGGTCCTCCATATCATTATAAAATGATGACCTTGTTACAATATTGAGTACTAATTTGAAAATATTAATATGCATGTAGAAATTTTACTAAAAATTTTATGGGGCGTCGTTTACGACTGAACCGATGACATTTCGTCGTTCACTGTAAATAGAATATTACCTCTACAACAGGTGTTGTCCCTCTGAAAGCATGAGTGTAGAACGGTTTTTCCAATGTTTAAATCTACACCTCTTTCTATTAGCGTGGTCATCAAACTGAAGTGTTGTCGCTTTGATGCTGATTGCAGGAGCATAGGGAGTTGATTTTTTTCGCACTTCCCTCCTGCAAGTAATATCTCCCTAATCAATACTGACAAAAAATAACATTTCCCAAACATAAGGTACATTGGCTCGTTATATTCCTCTCTGGCTTTTTCAATCAGAGTCATGCAGGAGTCATCCAATATTTCAACATCAGGACTCATCTGCATTAATGATGAAAGAATCTGAATTTTCCGATTGATACCTGAGTCTAAAATCGTAAAAAAAAAACAATTATGTTAGAATTTACATTTTTTTTGCGTATGAAGTAGAAAAAAATTACAATCTACAATAACGGACTGGTGTATTGATATTCAGTAAATACATCAAGACTGAAAAGAAAAACTTAGAAAAGATTGGGAAACTTTAAGCATCAAAGAAGAATATTGAGTTGAATTATTTATTCAATAACGTAGAGAAAACTAAAACAAAAATTACCCGAAGAGTAATATAAAGCATGTAACGCTGTCTGACCTCTTCTGCAGACCATGTTGACATCTGCCCCCCTCTCTAACAATTTTTCTACGATAACTGGTTCAGTGTGTCCACAAAAGAAGGTAAGTGGGGTATTTCCAGAGCGATTCTTAATGTTTACGTTGATTTTGTGGGGAGAAGCTAAAATTTGTATTATTACTTTTGCAAGCAATTCTCCGTTTCCATGGCCTATTTCGTCGTTTTGTCGCGACCAAAAGGTGCAAAACAGTGAATCACTTACATGCGACGATCCTTTACATTCCAGGATAGTATGAAGAAATGATAAATCATCTGGAAGCAAAAATGCCAATTAAAGAGAATGCGAAGGATCCAAATGATATACATTGTCTTTCTTTATTCGTAAACCCTTTTATATTTGCAAACTTAAAGTTAACTTTTGTATTAGGATTCGACTAAATTCACAAAATAAGATTCTCTATAAAATCCCACTAGTAGCTCCTCGGGTGGCTCGTACCTCGCATACTAACCTCGGACGTCAAAGGCGTTCTTCCATCTTGCTGATTCAGTCATGTGATCCTTATTTAAATTTCATTCAAATGATAAACTTTTGAAATCGGGGTTACTTTGTGACATGCTTAACATTATGTTCTACAAATTAGCGGCCTACATATGGTTGCAATTAAGAGCAATATACAATGAAGAATTCGAAAAATTAAGATACCTTTTCCAAGAACTTTCTGCAGAGAGAAATATGAAACGAGTGACAAGGCAGTTTCCGGCGGAGAAATGTATTGATCTGATGCGTATTCCTCCACCTATCACGTCCGAGGTTTGAATGGAGCGTAGCGGAGTCAGCCGATTGATAATATCCAAGGGAAACAAATAATTTGTTCTTATAAGGATTATATAGAGTCTGAATCATCTGTTTCATTTTTAGATATTTTACTAGAAAAGACACCAATGCTATCTAACAACGCGAAGAAAACTTTGTGATAAACGTGATGACTAACGTTTCCATCATTAACGTCCCTTACTTATGCATTTAATTGATTGATTAATTAATTGTATATTGTTTAACTCCCCTCTCGAGAATTTTTCACTGATATGTAGGTCACCTGTATACCGGGTTTACACGTATAATTAAGCTGATTCGATACGCAAGAGGGTATTCTACGTGGGAAAAATACAATTTATCATTAAGTCAAATGCTGAACGACGTTTTTCATACTAATCGTTAGGCCATTTTGTTTTTACACACTGAATGGTCAATGAATATTTCCGTTAATTCCGGAAATTAATGCCAAGAACCACACAGAAGTGTGACCAGGGGAAGCTCACATATTTAAGAGTTTCGTGCTTGCTCTGCTCTGATTTGTATTATTAAAAAGATTTTTGAGCTTCAGCTTACATATCTCTATATATTTCTTTAAAGCTCACAGGCTTATAATTGCATTGATTTAAACAATGAGGCCATCTAAAAATAATGTGTGCCTGCCCTTTCCCTACTCAGAGTAAAAATATTAGATCGGTATCTAGGTGGTATTTTTATCAAGAAAATATCAACATAATTCCAGACATAATATAAGGATGTTCGATCCTGCGCTTTTGACTGCATTTTGGTCCTGTCCTTTATTTACAAAATTCTGCATCATTTCTTAGATCTAACATTAAATCTAAATTCTACAATGCAAATTGAACTATATTCAATAACATAACCGCGATTAAATTCCATTTACGTAGAATTCAGCCAGGAACTAAATTTTGTGGTGGAAGGTTTTTTTTTTTAAAAGAAAATGATCATTTTTTCCGTTTTGAACTATAACAGTACTGTTAATTGTAGATTTCTATTTTTCCATACAGGTTGCACAAAAGGTGTTTTTTTGCGGTGAAATGTGTTATGCTGGTTCTGAAATATCTATTAAATTATTTCTTATGAATTCTCTCAACAAAGTGTGACAAATATAGTAAATTAATATAATCTGAAAATCCGGGAAAAAATTAAGCCAATTTTAACGTAAAAATGACACTTATATCGTAATATCTGAAAATTAACATCATATACCCCCACTTCTGATGTTCTTATCTAAATATTTAACGTAACTTTGACCTATTTACTTAAATTCAGATAAAGTTTAAGCCTTCAAAATGATTTTCTTGCTTATTAAATTTTTAATGCCAGATATATAACATTTTATTAGTGCAGAAAGGTCAAATAATTGCTTATGAGAAGCAATTTGAAACTTTTTCTTAGTCACAATTTTAAAGTGTCTTTTTTAAAACAAACTTAGAGTTCATTTTGTTTTATGCATTCATTTGATAAAAATATTGGAGGGAAAACGTCGAAGATGTAATTTTTAATTAAGACACAAATTTTAGTGCAAAAAGGTCATATTAAATGTACTGTAGCGCCAAAAGAAGCATATTGACCCCCAGTTGTTGACAAGTTTTTAATTAAACTACGTATGTAGAAACTAAAAATATACTTGGCAAAAAAGTTTAAAACAGGGTTTCAACGTTGTTAAGGAAAAAAGTAATAAAAATAATAAACATTTGCTTCCTGGGGTCATTTTTTTTTGTTTAGATCCATTTTTAACCAGTCGGTCGATAGTACAAGCAAATACTTTTTTTTCAAGATGGTTTAAAATTTAGTAATCTTGAAGCTTTTTCAGAATAAATGTATAACCTGCAATGTGATTTTTCTGACGAAAAACTGAAAAATTAATTATCGTTAATGGTATCAAACAAAGAAAAGTTTTTAATTGTTTACATTTATATCTGCATAAAAATATTTAAAATAGGATTACTGGATGAAATATTGCAATATTGATATGAACGTCATTGAAGGTTTTTTAAATGAAAAAGCCATCGCTTAAAAATCTGTAGAGATAAACAGCAAAGTAGTGCTTAGAATAATGTACAGTGGACATAAATATAAGCAGATATACATTCTGAATTCATTTTTTTTTTAAGTTTCACTTGCCTTGTCCTGTTACTAAGATTTTTTTGGTTTACTATTATTTTATCTTAATGAAAGGTTTCGGTACTGATAAAGCAATTTTAATACTTTTAATCAGCAATAAATTCAGTTTGTAGCAATTACAATTCAGTGCCTTGACGTGATTTGTTTGCCTATTAATATTCTATTTAAGGAATAATTGTCTTATTTTTCGATTTCATGATGTGATCAATCGATTGGCTTGCGTGATAATTTGCATAACCGCCGAAGGCGTTTATGCATAAAATTATCACACAAGCCAATTAATTAATCATCGTCATGAAATTGAAAAATCTGACAGTTATTCCTTTATTTTGTTATTCCTTGATTTTGCCAATCCACGTGCTACAAGCCCCGCTTCTTGTCTCTTATTTGTCCCGTTCTGCACGTGATTGTTTTAGCCGCGCCTATCGATGAACCAGTACATTGATGGAGAAATAAAGTACATTGATTATTTGTAATTTTTTCTCGAACAAAGACATTGGAAATATAAATATATAAAAAACAAGTATACTCAATTATTGTATACAGGGTTATTTTCGTCCCTGTTATTTCGCCCTTTTACAATTGCAATCAATTTCGTCCCGTCTTAAATTCGTCCAGTCACAGTTCTGTTTAAGAAATCATACCTTTTTTCTTTGAATTCGCCCCGGGGGCGAAAATTTCCCTGTATACAGTATATAAATTCACAGACATATGAGATTAATTGAATGCAAAAAGAAAGACGTTATTAAATTTTTGAAAATGAGATTCCTGCAATCGAGTCATTCCTATATGTATATTTACTTCTGAATAAAAATGAATTAAAATGTATACTTTACCAAGGGCAAAACAGTTTTTAAAAATATTTGCTCCTTCAAAAAAGGGATCCGCTCCTACTTCTAGTAACTTTCGAAATTCCTCAGCATTTCCTTCTAGAGCATAATGTAATGGCGTTAACCCATTTTCATCTTCAATGTTCACCATAGCATCAGTGGACAGTAAAAGATCCAGTGTAGTTTCCTTGACATTTGGATATGAATAATTCATGTACATGCAATGTATTTTCTTTGAATTTCCACCTGTTTAATTTATTGAACCAAATATGAATTAACTTCACCACATGAAATACAATATTAAATATTTTCATAGGCCACTTTATAACTAGTTCAAATAATTCTCAATTTAATTATTCGTGATATAAGCCCTTAAAACAATATATGCAAGATAATAAAGTATACGTTACTTGTCGTAAAACATCGATGTAAAGGTGTCTGTTGGTATTTTCCCTTATGATTCACATCAGCACCTTTTACAAGTAGCAGCTTTATAACGTTTGGGATATTTGCTGATACTGCAAGATGTAGAGGGGATTCTTTACCTGTTTCACTGACATTACATCTAGCTTCATTGTCCAGTAATAAATTTACAATTTCTTCACACTCAGAGTTTGAGTTGACAGAATTTATAAACACAATGGAACTTGTATTTTCGTGCAAAATAGCAGACTCAAGAGCAATTTCTATTGGATTTTTTCCGGAATTACTTGCAACATTTGTGTCTGCACCAGCTTCTATCAAAACTCTCAAAATTTCAAGCTTGTCACCTTAAAAAAGAAAATTAATTATTCTTTTGATATGAAATCTGGTATTTACATCCATGCCATCCTAAAATATTTTATTTAAAATGCAACAGCATTGAAAAAAAAATTCTATGTTTGCTAGAAATACTTTGAAGTAATATGTTGTAAACAGAACATTTCCTTGTTTCGCGAAAAATATGAGAATATTTCGACATTTCCTTAATTTGTATTTTATATTTTTGGCTTTGTTTGGGAAAGATTTTGTTTGAATTTACCATGCAAACGGTAAACAAACAAAAATTTATAATTTACTCACACACGGAGGAAGATAAGCAATTAACCAATGGTGTTTCTTCGTCTGTGTCCTTTCTGTTTACATCACCGCGTGCTTTCAAGAGTAATTTTACAGCATCAACTGAATATTTTGCAGCCAAAGAAATAGGATTTTTCAAACCAATATTGGGATCAGCTTGATATTGCAAAAGATTTGAAAGAATATTGAGAGTATCTCTTTCTATCGGAACAGATAAAAGAAAAGAAAGTGGTGAAATGCCCTCTAGTAAAATATTGGTATCAGCTCCAGCCTCTAAAAGGCACTCCACTACTTCTCCTCGCCTTGAAATGGATTCTACAACAAAGTAAAAAAAAATTAGAATGGTTACAAAGAATTTTGAATATACTGAATACCATACCGATTTCTGAAACAATTTTGAGAGTAAGAGCTACATGTAGCGAGAGCAAAAGCAAACAGTAAAAAATTATCCCTGATTAAGTCTTATTTTGTTGCAAGATTGCAATCAGACTAAAACTGTAGGAGGAGGAGCAGTTTGAAAGTATTTCACATAAATTTTTATTTCAGATACCATTCTAACATCATTCACTAAAATCATTTTATGTCTTTGGTACTAGTATAAAAAGTCCTAGAGGCATTTTAACATTTTGTAAAGGCTTTTGTGGAACCGTCTTTTACAATATTATACTCAATTTGCGTATTCTTAAAATCAATTCAATCCACTTGCGCAGTAGATCTGGATATAAATACACAGGCGCGATTAGAATTACTTGTCCCGCCAGCCAATTTCAAGATCACAACACCTGATGGACTTGCTGTCCATATAGATATTTTTTGTAATACTTATATTTTTTCACAACTTATAATGTTATAGGCCTAACATGTATTGATTTCCTATCTAGAAATAACTTTGATCCGAGCTGTGTTCTTCTTCTGCTCGGTGACAATAGGCGAATTCATGACACCTTTTATTTCTTTAATATAAGCTATTTATTTTTCTCCAGTATAGATACACGAGCCGGACAAAACGGAAACATGGAGAATATGGAGATAACGAACAGTATTCAATATCAGAGTCCATAAAACAATACAAAATAGCAGCAAAGCAAACACGGACCTCCAAAACATCAGAGGTTGGATCAGGTACCGTGGAGGAGTAAGCATCCCCTGCCGACCGGTCATTCCCGCCGTATGCTCCTTGTCATCATAGGAAAATAACGGAAAAATCCAATGTCAATTCAGTGCATAAATTATGGACTAACAATTAGTATGAACAACTCCAGTCAGCATTTGACTCAATGATAAATTGTATTTGCTGACAAGGTCATTGTATCGACTATAGAAATTATGAAATGATGACTTAAACGAGACTGCTGATATTCTTATTTCATCAACTTGTTTGTCAATAATTTAGGTCAATATGAAAATTAGGGCATGCTCTTGCGTATCGAATCAACTGAGAGAGATAAACTCCATATGCAGGTGATTAAGGAATATTGCTGCATAAGTAAGGGAAGTTGACGATAGAAAAGTTAAAGTATTCACGTTTATCTTAGAGCTTGGTTGCTAGATTACCTTTAGCATCTTTTTCAGGTAAAATATCCAAGTATGACACAAATGTGTTAGACTCTGTGGTATCTTTTATCGCAAGCACACCAGAATACATCGTATCGACATAGGAATGGAAATTACAATTGTTGATTGACAATACGTTGTCGATATATCTAAATGTATCTAAATGTCGAATTGAAGGCCACACAAATGTTTTCTTCTTTTCACGCATAATATTTTGAATAAATTCTGCTTCATATGAATACAAAAATAGGTCTGCTAATAACGGAGCGCAGTTGGTTTCAATGGGAATTCAAATAAATTGTTGGAAGACCTGGTCTCCAAAAACCACATAGTTTGTCAATCAGAAACTCAAGAATCTTTTTGATGTCAACTTCAGAGTACTTGTATGTGCAACCAGAATGTGTTTTAACAAAATAATTTTGCAAATGACCAGTGCCCAGGTAAGTAAATTTACGAGTTCAATTTTTATTAAAAAAGCAGTTGTCCATAATATTAAAAAGCCTTGAATTTAATTTATCGAGGGGGAATGGTTGTGTATAAAGTTGAAAAATCGTAAGTTTTTAAGCTGTTGGTTTTATAAAATCGTGTGAATTAAAATTGTCCAAAAATTCTTTGGAATTTTTGAGTATCCATGGACTGAAATAAAGCCTGTCGGACGTACATGTATCAGGTGATTTCTCTACTAGCCATCGTTTCCAGAGATATTATGAACAAAAATAATGTCTAAGTTTGTATTTCTAAGACGTCAAATGTTGGAGTTAATTGTAATACGATCGACTCTAAGGTTCAAGTTCAGTTTCTTCATTTAAATCAACAAGAGGCCCATGGGCCTTATAGGTCACCCGAGCATTATGCAACAACTTTCCAGTGATTGAATTTGATTCATGTTTTTAAGCCAGATGCTATGGCATTCAAAATTTTGAAAGAGGCATCATTGATCATCATAACTATACACTTAGCAGTTGCTTAGTTTGGTTACTTAATACACATAGGCAGGGTAGGGGAACAAAAAATGCGTTTCAATATATTCAGCTATAATCAGTAGTGCCCCTACGACACATGAACCCCTGACCCTTAGGCCTAGATCCACACATTGCATAATTTTTGAAAAGGCATCCTTGCTTTCAAAACTATTTGATTAATACCATGGAGCAGATTTCAAACCATTCATTTTTGTATATAAGTACAGCCCCCCCCCCCCCTCTATGGTACCACTGACCCTGGGGCCTTGGAATTCACAATTCTGAGTTTACTCAGGTGACCTAAAAAGAAGACAAAGAATGTAAATCAAGAACTATTCAGTTATCCAGGAGCATTGAACTAAAAGTTCTTTTAAACTTATCATTTATACCTTCATCTCCATAAGTTGCCAAAACAGCATATAGTGCGGTTTTCCCTGATTTACTGACATAATTCACGTCTGCTCCATTCTTCACAAGGAGTTTTGCAGTATCAAACTTCAATCTGGTCAGTGCATTAGTCAAAGGAGACTCGCATCCCTCTGAACAACAGCTTGGATCTGCGCCTTTTGATATCAAAATGGAAACATCTTCTGGGTGGAATATATCACGCTTTTTAATAAGTGCATTTAATGGACTGTACCCCTCCTTGTTGCAAGCGTTAACATTGGCTCCACATTCGATTAAAATATTGAGAAGGTTCAAATTTGGCCCCTCAGAACCTAAAATGATTTTGAAACATTTGCAACGGAAACACGACATTGTTTCAGGAAACGTTTAAGGTGGGATTCTTCTCATATTTCACACAGAGAGAAAGCCACACGTTTTCTGGTTTTGGGCTCAAATCTATACTCGTAGATTGGAAGCTCTTAAAAAGCTAACATTATTGCAGTTTCTATGGAAAACATATTTATTTTAAATGATTTTACTATTTAATCACTTACTATTAATTAGACTTACATTTGAAAAGTTTAAGTCTCGTGTAAAAATCATAACTAAATTCAGTGTTTTATAATAGTTTTAAGAGAGAGAAAAGATTTTTTTAATACGCCACCATTTGTCAAAAAAAAAGTTCCTGCTAAATTTCACACTCATTTTACCATTCCTTTATAAACTTGTTCAATTATGACGAGGAAATTTATGACCTTTTAAATCTCTTACATCTAAATATATGACATATAAGCAATTATACTTTTATAATTTCATTTAGTCAAAAACCAGACAAGAATCCCTCTTTACATATCAAAGGATAAAAATCTACATGTATATACAATATACACACTTACATAAGTAATGTAATGCAGTATTCCCATTCTTGTCTTCTAACGCTACATCTGCACCAAATTTCAACAACTCTTTAACAACTGTATCTTCAGCCCATTTCATGCAAACCATAAGGCATGTAAGGCCTACAGTATCCTTCGTATTAATTTCAAAGTCCCGTTTTAACATTTCTGTCACATAGTGTCCACATCTTTGTCTAATTGCAACGTGCACAGGCGTCTCCCCATTTATTGCTTGGATATTTACAGAAGCCCCCGAAATCAAAAGTAGATTAAGAATACTTGACTTCGAATCGTCAACATTAATGTTGTTCAGTTCATCTTGATCTTTAAAAAAAAGAATGAAAATATTCCCCATTGAT